AGACAATTTAAATTGATAATTATTGCTAAATCATGATTGTTACTTTTTTTTTCGCAACAAGAATAGGTACATAATTAAGATAAAATAAAACAAACAATATGATTTTTGTATATAAAAATTAAAAACAACGTACATATCTATAAAAAAAAATTAAAACAACGTACATTTTTTTTTTCTGAAAACACTGTGTACTGTGTGTAGAGTTGAGTCTTAAGTTGAGTCTTGAGTTTTCAAGACTCCACTTCAGATTTTGTTTAGACTCACCTTCTTAAATGCATTAAAAAAACAAAGTTATGTCTTAAGACTTAAAACTTTAAAAATGATGATGTCATCCTGAGTCTTAAGACTCAGTGCTAATCTTGCTCTTATGGTTAATTTATCAACACCAAGATTGTTAGCGTCATCGAGACTGCATCCTAACGCTTCGATCTTCGTCCCGATGAAATCGTATCTAATGGGTCTGGTGGGATCTTGTTCACTCTTCACCATTTTTTCTAGATTCCTGCCTTAAAGAAATTAAATCAAGATTGCTTTGATGATATTGATTATGAATTTCAGATTGATGATTTTGATCTCTTTACCTTCGAACTTCATCTTCCAAAACATAAAGTTTTTTTTTATTTTTAATACAATTTTTTTAGGTTGTTTAAGGTGAAGGGGGACGGTGGTCAGGGCGGCGCCGACGCCAGGTCCTGGAGAGGGTGACTGGGTGGCGGCCGACGTGTGGGAGGCATGGTGGTGGGTTGCTGGGTTGAAGGCTGGTGGTTAATTTTTCAGTTTTTATTTTTTGTTTTTTAATTTTTTTTATATTTTAACCAATCGTAGGATGACATCCGTTAACTAGTAATAACAAGTTGAATGGTCGGTTGGGACTGATTTGGGCGGATGGAGTACAAAGTTGAGATTATTAAAAAATAATCAAAAGTTGGAATTATTTTGAGCGGACGGAGCAAAGTTGAGATTATTTTTGGCAATTTTTCCAAAAAGAAATAAGGACGTGTCAATTTATTAAAAAGTGCTTCACACTACATATTCTATTTTATAATTAACATTAAGATTGGTTTATTATTTAAGTTTTTAGCATTTAATTTAAATTTTCTTTGAATAAATGGGCTTGGGTTGCTTTATGATTTGGGCTTAAAAATTTCTTTTTCTGGTTTTGGTTTCAGATATTTCGGCATTCAAATAATGAAAACGGTGTTGAGTCTGTTGACCCAATACATTGTTGCTATTCCAAAAGTTGAGGATTAAAATTTAAAAATGGAAGATTTATTACTGGAATTTGGGTTCAGAATTCAAAACCGCATATTCCTAACAACTTTCAATTGTAAGAATCAAATGCCCTGATTTTCTGCTCACTCGTACAACACACATTAGTAGATTACACTTGTAATTGCTTCTTCTATTATATTCTGGGGGCCTGTATACTTCAGTTCCAAAAACTGCATCACCAATTCACCATATTCTTAAATTTGGATTGCGTTGGAAATACCAAGTTTACCATATAATTTATCATTGGTAATAAATAAGATTCTTTTTGTATTAAAAAAAAAAAATAAAAAATAAAATCATTACACATAGTTTTAAACAAATGAGACATACCATTAACACTAAATCTATGTAATCGGGACACACATGTTTCAACCTGGGAATCGTCAAGTCTCAACTTATATAGACAGAGATAACTACTTCTACTAACTTGGTAATTTACTAGATTACATACTTTAATAGACATTTACTTGGTAGAACACTAATTATACATGTACACTTTTAATAGACAATTACAAACAGCTCGTCTTGTGTGCTGCCGGCCACACCATGTGACCACTTAAAGTAACCCCTATAACATTGATTAAGTAAGTCAAGCAACCCCTTTAACACTGATAAAGTAACCCCCATTACACTAGCAAAGTAACCTCAATTACACTATCATCGTTGTAATCCTATATATATATGAATCAATAGAATACACTTCAGGCTAAGAAGTTACATTATCTAACATAGTATCACAGCTTTAGGTTATGATCTAGCTTCCGCAAATTTAATTTTTTAAAACAAATTTCATTGTAATGAGAGTATAAATATATTCTGAATCCTCCTTAGTCAATTAACGTCAACTTAGATCAATTCAATGATATGTTATTGATTTCAAGGTCATTGATGTAAAATGAACTTCATGGGGTTCTATCCCTTTCCTAGATTCATTGAAATGTAATTGAGAGAAATACACTCCATCAATCAATTTGTAGATAGCATTTAATAAATTGAATTACATGTACACCAATTAAACTTAACAATTTATTTAACTACACACATCTAAAGTCCATCTTAGGCAGGCAACATAGGTGCCTAACACCTTTCTACTAACATCATCACTTATTTTTAGTAAAACAATCTGCCTCAAATTACCAACCTTTAGTTCATAGCAATGTAGCATATGAAGTTACGTTTTGAATTATGTATAATTCTAAACCCTTAATCATAATTAGAGATTCGTTCGGTCTATGTGTCTAATTACATCGGCTAGAGTGTTATATTAATTTGGTAAGCTCAAGATCGATTGTACCCTAAATCCAAAATAAATCTAGCGGGAATGTAGAGCGTGTTTACCTCTTAGCCATTTTGTTACTTTCATATCATATCTCTAGCCTTAATCCAAAAGTTTGGGTTATATGGGCTAGCTTATTAATTATGGAAAATGATAAATATAGTCCTAATGGCTATGTATAAGGGCTAAAAAAAGGAAATATTGATGATAAAACAACATTAATTACGCCGTTCTGCTCATAAGTTTGTCATTAATTATTTGGTTTACTTAGCTCAAATAACTAATTACAAGTACAGACTAATAATATTACGGAGTAACTGATTTTATCCGTTATTTTATTTATTTATGTATTTGTTGATATTATCCAAGTGTAAAAAAGCAAAAGCCTAAAGCACAAGTGCATGTACATTAAATGAGCTTTATTACCCAACAAGAAGCTCGTAGACAAAATGCAAAGGCAAATCTACTTTAATTCCATTTAACCACAAAGTACATAACTCCATTGTGTACTCCCTCTTTTGCCAAAAAAACAGCATGCTATGATTTTTGGACTCCCTATTTTTGTGTTGGAAACTCTGGAATGTCATCTTTGGATCACAGAAAGAGTGTTGTTTTTTTTGCTCCATTGAAACCGAAACTCCCACGGACATGACTTCTTTCTTCATCATGCAAGTATGCAACCGTGCTACCTATTACGTTTTAGACTCCAACTCGACAATTACGTAATTGGTTGTTTTATTTAGGCCCTGTTTGATTCACCTTAATTTTGCTGAACTGAAATTATTTTTACTGAACTGAACTTATTTTTACTGAACTGAACTTAATTTTACTGAACTGAAATTATTTTTACTGAACTTAAATTATTTTTACTGATTTTCTATTATAATTCTTCTTTAAGAAAACTGAATTTTACTGAACTGAACTTATTTTTACTGAACTGAAATTAATTTTACTGAACAGAACTTATTTTTACTGAACTGAAATTATTTTTACTTAATATTTTTTTTGTAAGGCGAAGAGAACAGGGCCTTATTTTGTAGCATTATACATTTTTTTTGAAGCATTTTGTAGCATTATACATTGACCAATATGTTTATAATTCACTCACACGATAAACATTGTACCTTAAAAATAAAATTAAATTTTTTTACTGTAGGACAGGGGACTATTACTCTAAAATATACAAATCAGATAACAAAATTACGCAAAATTGTTGTCGTTCATTTACAGATGTACAAAAATATAACCACTAAGGGTCTGTTCACATATACTAAACTGAGCTAAATAGAGTTGAAATGAATATTTTATGGGAGATGGAAATTAAGAGCTGAACTGAACTAATTGAAACTGAAATAAAGTAAAATTAGGCTGAAGTGAACGGGCTAAAAAAAAACCTATTCAACTTCTTATACGTTTTGGATACCACGACAACTTAAAACTAAAAACTAACTAAAAATAATGTTACTAAAAAGCAATTGCCAAACAACCTCATAATCTTAAAAGTTTATTTGTGGCTTACTAATTTTGTCGATTCATAATTTTTCTGTTCCTGTCGTATCTAGATCATGTATCACATGTAACAAGATTCTAGAAGAGCTATTATTATTTCTAGTTCCAGGCAAAACTCTGTTAAAGAGTCTCATCGTGGCTCTTCTACAACCTCATCCTCGAACCTCCCCTTTTAAATTTAAGTCCATTCCCATAAATTATTGGACGTGACCAAACACATAACAATGTACGTAGCCAATGCTCATTATGATGCACAACCGTACTGATGCAGGTTACAATAAATAGAGATATCAACTGATTTTGAATTTTTGATATCAAATCTTAAATAGTGTGCGGGATCCTGTGAAAATCCACGTGAGTTGTCTTTTGTCGAAGATTGTTTTAGTAAAAATTATAAGTAAATAAAAACATATATGTTGTCTATGTATTTTTAAGCAAGAGTCTCGTGACATTATGTATAGTATTTAATTTTATTTGTTTAGCGGATTGTGGCATTCATGCATCATTGATATACTTTGTTTAATAAGGATGACGCTTTCGTTCTTTAGAATAGCAAGTTGTCTAAAGGTCTCTTTCTCATTGATGGGAACATGCACATGAGTATATGACCCAAACGCATAACGATTAATTGATGAATTTCATAAAATACATTCAGGAGCTTTTGCAAACAAAACTAACTAACTCTATAACAACTTTAAAGGCCATAACATGTAAAGCACTTCCTTTATCTTAAAGGTTTTTCTTATTAAACTGTAACTAAATTGTGTATTAACTTATAACAAAAACACTTTATTTTTCTCTAAAAATTCTCTTATTTTAACAATGTCTCACAGTAAAAGAATACGTACAAGTACAAAAAATGTTTTTTGAAAAAGAATAACGAACAGGAAGAACTACTAGAAACGAAAGGGGTAAGGAATCTAACACTTGTCATATAGTGATGTACTATCAATGATACCATATAATTAACCCATCATACATTCATACCCTACAATTACCAAAATTGAATTGTTCTTAGCCTTAACATATAAGAACTCTGATTACTGTATACAATTGTACAATTATAAGTTCATTTCATATTAATACACCTAAAAAGAAATCTAAGAAAATAAAAACCAAAAAATCTACAAGAAATTATTAATTACAGAAAACTCCCCACCAAATTCAGGAATAGCAGAAACAGAAGCAGCACAAAGCTTTTCATGAAAAACCTCCATCAACTCATCTGGCACAAAGGCTGTCCTACAAAGAGGACACGTAATCTGATCATGATCCATCCAACGGTCCACACACGCTCTATGAAATATATGCCCGCAATTTGTCAGCCGTCGGATCTCCTCGTGATCTCGGAAATCATACAAACAAACCGCGCATTGCTCGGCCTGGTTTGACCCGGGCGAAAATGAACATACCACGTCGTTGAATTTCATCACGGGTAGCATTTCTTGGATAATGGTGGCGGTTGCGGGCTTGGATTCGGGCCCGGGTTCGGGCCAGAAGATATCGGGTTCGAGGAAATGGGAGAGACCCGAGAATCTTGAGAGATTGAGGATGAAAGGTTGGAGGAAATTGAAGAGAGAAAGGGAGTTTATGAAGATTTTTGGGAGGAATTCTTGGGCATACCCGGTTGGGAAGCCCATCGGGCTTTGACTTGAACGGGTCGGTCGGGTCGAGTGTTGATGGCGGAAGTTTGAATGGTAAGTGGTGTGACGAATTTGGGAGCGAGTACGACTAGTAGAGGTGTTTTGGGAGTTGGTATGTATTTTTTTTTTTGAAGGTGTTTTAGGAGTTGGTATGTAAAATATAAATAAGTTAGAGATGTTGGTCTATTTATAAAGAGGGTGGAATTAATTACGGTAGAAAAATATTGGGTCATTGCCAAAAAAAAAAAAAAAAAACAAATTAAAAAATAAGTTTCATTAAAATTTGCATTTTCCCATTTTGACCACTATTAGGTTTTGTTTTGAGACTTGAGAGAGACATAAGTAATAATTTATTAAACGTAAATGAGATTAGTGAGGTATATCACGTTGATTAGTAAGGAAGATGATTTATGAGAAAAATTCAATTTTGAAATGAATTTGAACAATGAGTATTGAGTACTAGTATATTTGAGTTTTTTAGAAAAATAGTCAACTGTGTTATTTCAAGGTAATTGAACACTTTTCATTTTCATCTAATTTAGAATAGTTGCTAGTTGAACACTTTTTTGGAGTACGCTCCTTATAGATTATGGTGAATTTGCTATCTCTTATGCGTTACTAACTCATGTGAATACTAACTGTTATGAGGCAGAAGACTAGAAGAGTATCTTTTATGCTAGGTAAGAGCAAAGATGAACTAATGTATTAAGTTGGAACATCTCACAGATTAACCTGATCGGGTATGGGGGCTAGGCACTATAAGAGTAAAGGGGATAGGTGGTCGGGATTGTGGTCTAAGCACTTTAATTTAAGAGTGGGGGGGGGGAGGATGAGGTGCTCCGGTGGGAATTAAACCTCCAACAATCTCAAGTCTCCAACTCAATCCGTAACACTAAGCCAACATTTATTTGGTATCTTTATTTGTATATGTTGTATTAACGTTCTGTTAAATTTGGCATACATATCAATACACTAGTATTTTAATAGTAAAAATATAAAAAGCTGATAGTACGAAATTTTATAGTACCACCAAATTAACAATATACAAAAACAATACTCCTATATATTTCATGATAGAATTTAATTTTGGAAAATTTGATATTTACTACCACCAAAAGTACCACGTATCAGATTTACTACGTGTTTAAAAAAAAAAATTTAAATTTCTACCACCATAATTCCCTAACTGTATGAATAACTACCATTTAACGGAATCTGTCAATATGACGTTAATGGGGCCCACCTTATTAACTACCTCTCTCTCTCTAACTTCTCTGTCTCTTTCTACCTCTTCCCATTCAATACTCTCAACCTCCATTATTGACAGCATTGAATTTTTTTTTTACCTCATTTTGACCACGAATCTGTTTCTCTATCTTACACTATCTTATCCTCAGATTTAGGGTTTGTGTTCGTGTTAGATTGTGAGTGGAAGAGAAGGTCCACCTGGGAACGCTGTCATCACCATTGCTGAAGTGGAAGGTTGAAGATTCTCCGACAACACTTGACAGGTAAGAACCCTTTTTCGTACTTGTTGTGGTCCAGCAAAGCGTTAATGGTGGTTTAATTGCAATATTTTATGTTCAATTTGGGCAATTTAGGCAGAATATTTGATAGTAAACCCTAGAGTTGCGCACTTTGATTAATTTAATCCCTTAATTAGCAATTAATTAATCTTGTGTGGGTGTACTGTCATGTGTTATGCTGTGGTGTTGTTTATAATTGTTAATTGGTCATAATTTGTGGAATTTGATGTGTGAATTATAAATTGATTTGTTGTATGTTGTTTCACTTGCTTTGATTGTAGAATAAAATGGATGGTGAGGTAGAAACTGTTTCGGGGTTTTCTGATGTCCTGCAGGAGAGTTACAATTTCGAGACTGGAACCGGACGCCTGTACCTGCAAAACAAACGGATGCTCCGGATGATTGGAGATCCGCCTCCGACGGTCAAGTTAGTACTTGATTAAGGAGTAATTAATGCGGAAATTAAAGTGATTGGGTCTCTCTAGGTGAGAGTGTTTAATGTGTGTAATCTGCGTTTTTTGCGTGTTATCTCCCTTAATGAGGATTAAGGGAGGTATTTATAACCTCGGGAAACGTGTCAATCTAGGTTTAGGTTAACCTTGGGCTGATTGGGCTTCCCTCGGAAGTTGGGCCTAGGTGACCGGTTATCCCAGGTGTCATGGGAAGGACACGTGTCGTGTCGTAATTGGTCCATAGTGGACAGATCATTGCTTGACACGTGGCAGGCTCATATTGGCCCATGTGACGGACACATGGCGGAACCTGATTGGTCCACTTGTCAGATGGTGATTGGTGGGGAAAAATCCCCTAATCATTTGCCCCTCACAGGTGGTACGTGACTGGTCACGTGTTACCTGTGACAGGTATCGCCCTGTAACATGCGACGGCCTGCTACAAGTGTCACTCGGCGAGAGGCCGAGAGATTCTCCCGCCAAAATTTTGAATTCTGGAAGTGACCCTTCGCCTATATAAAGGAGTGTTGACTTCGGTCATTTTCACACTTGAAAACTTTGTGAGAGAACATTCGGACCCCTGAACTTGCTCTGACATTTTGGACTCTTTCTGCCTACCGCCTGCTCTGACAAGCCGACTGCAAAGGATTTTCAGAACTTCATCAATCGTCACTCGTTCAGGTAACCGTCGGTTCTCTTACTCTTAATTTTCTCTTTACTTTATTCTTTTTTGAAATGGCACCACGGAAGCACACGATACGACCTAGGTTAGTGATCAGCCGGTCACCGGGGACGGCTGAATCTAGGACTAGGAGTGCCGCCTGCCCTTTTCTGGACCCATCTTTGCCCTTTATACAAAGTCCGACTGTATCTGTGTCTATGCAGAGCATGATGGCCAGAACAAAAAAGACTGCCAGGATCTCAAACTCAGACGGCTCCTCCCACAGGGTGCCGATTAGTGAAACATATGACCAGGCGCCAGATGTGGAAGTGAAACAAAGCGGCTTGAAAACCGGCAGTTCTGAGGGAGGAGTCAAAGTGACCCCTTCCCATTTTACAGTTGACAATTCTACATTCTCTCCTGCTCCTTTTAAAGGAGAGGAGGCGGGCCCCTCCGGGAGAGGGGAGGAGTCGTCCTCTTTGGACTCGTCAGAGGACGATTCCGAGTCTAGCTCTTCTGGCCATGCTTCCCTGGACACAGAAGAGAAAAACAGTCGCCTACAAGAGGCAAGGCTTTCTCACGCAGTTGAGAAGGGGGACGATTGGGCGGAGCCATCCGCCTCTCACCGAGAGCAAAATACCCCCTACTACTGCACGGTACCTCGGGGCCGGATCACGGCCATGCAAGAGAAAGTGGAGAGCTTTATCGCAAACCACACAATGGGCCCCGGCTTTTTAGTGTTCGTGCCGGATCCAGAAGACACAGTCGTATGGCCGGCTGGTACCAGTTATGATGGCGCATGCTTTGGCTGCTACGAGGCGGCCATCAAGGCTGGGCTGCGCTTCCCACTACATCCAGCTGTTCAGCGGATCTTGGATGGCTATGAGTTGGGGTTATGGCAGTTAGCCCCGAACTCTTGGGTCAACGTACTCGGCTATGTGGCCGGGTGCGAACTGCACGGGGTGGAGCCGAGCTTCGAGGCTTTCGCCCACATGAACTACCTCAGTCGGACCCCTAAGGCAGGCGATACCGGCTGGTATCAATTGACGAGCCACAGGGGCTACCTCATGACGAGAGGTAAAGCAAACAAATGGAAGGACTGGCAGAGCACCTTCCTCATCATTGAGAGCTCAGACACAGAGCTGAACAAGCGCTTCAACAGGTGGAACAGGAATCCGCCCCTTCTTGCAGGCGGCCGCAGCATGCCGCCTGTTCCCCCCAAGGCTAAGAAAGAGATCCTAGATAAAGGACTCTTCAAAGTAGAGTCGAAGGTGAACTCTACTTCAGGGGTACGAGAGCAAGTACCCCTGCACTGCGTCCCGAGCTTCAAATGGCTCTACGACGAGTACTTTTTGGCCGCCTGTGGCCTCAGCAGTCGGTGCTCAAGAGGTAGCCGGCCTGTCGAATACTCTGATGTTCCGTGCATTTCTTGTTATGACTTTTATTAACTTTGCTATTTGTTTTTGCAGCGGACGCCATGAGCAAAATTACCGCCTCCAAGACTGCGGCGGCCATGTTGCGGGCCTCCATCATGAAACAGTCTTCAACCGACTCCCCCAACAAGGGGGCACCCTTGGTGGGCTTCGAACCTTTCACCCTCTTTTTGGAGTTGTGTTTATGCATATACTGACTCTTTTCTTCTTTTTTATACGGGCGCTCCAAGAGCTTCTTCTTCCCAACAGCCGGACCCCAAGGCCCGGAGGACGACTGTTGCGAGCTCTCCTGGTTCTGCCAGGAAACATGCGGCGGCTGAGAAACAGCGGCCACTTCTTCTAAAACTCTAGCTGGGCCACCTAGAAGTATGAAATTGTCCTTGTAAATTTTAGACTTGCTCCCTTCTTTACTAGGTCTAATCCGTTTGTTTATGCTTGATGCAGCCGGCCCTCAGGAGCCTGACTTGGTCGAGGTGGCCAAGTCTATGATCAAGGCCGTTCCTCCAGCTGAAAGGGAGGCGGTCAGGGGTGTCGGCACCCTTGACCTAGACGGGATTGCAGGGGTCCTTGCTGAGGTATACTTAGCATATTTTTGAGTATTTGAATTCCAGGACGCCTGTTTTCTCTTTTTGTTTGGAAACTGACGCTTGTTCCCCTTTTTACTTAGGCCCTGCTCCGAGTGAACGGCCTTCGCAAGCCGCTTGACCGGAGGAACAAAGAGGTAAAGGCTGCAAAAGCTATGGCCGCCTCTGACTGTGATAAGGCAATGTTTCAAATTGCCCAAAATGAAGTTCTGACCATTGATATTCTTTATTATCAGGCGCAGGATACCGCCGCTATCCAGGCTCAGTTAGAGGCGGCCCAGAAGAGGAATAGCAAGCTGGAGGCGACCATCAACAACCTCAAGGCCGAGTTGAGACCTCTTCGCCAAAAGATGTCCTCATACGAAACCTTGGAGAAATCCTTGGCGAGCGTAAAGGTACGCCTGGTGACCCAGGAGAAGAGTCTTACCCAGGAGCTCTCGGAAAAGGCCGAGCAAGAAAAGAAAGAGCTGGTCCGGGAGATGATGGAAGACTCTGCTCAAATCCAGCGCATGACTTGGGGCCGCCTCTTCCCCAATGCCGACTTTTCCTCATGGGATAAAACGTACCGCCAGTGTTCTGATAGATATAATCAAGAGATCCTGGCGGCTGCTGAGGAAGAGGCGTTGGAGGAGGAGGAGGAGCCGGTAGTGGCGCTTGTGCCGCTTGGGGGTAATGCATCAAAGAAGGATGCAGCTGAAGCCGAGTCCAGCAAGAAGAGTGCTGACCAGGCGGCAGCTGCTAATATTGAAGATCTGCCCCCTTCTTAAGCTTTATGTCTTCATTCCACGGCCTGCGTGCCGTTT